TATACCTTGGCGCCAAGGCATCCGAATATTTTATGAATGGTCAAGTACCCTAAAGACCAGAATAATTCAAAATTGAGGTCCAGAATTTCCCCCTCTGGATTAAGGGGAGGAAACACAGGGAGAACATTACCGGTATCTTTCAGCCCTCGATTAAGACAAATAAGAAGAAAAAATACAGCACAACAGACCTTACTAGGAGAGGCAACTCCAACGTCCTAGTGAGACTCTCAAATATTCAAGTTCTGGTGGCATGATAGGTACAGTACAGTACAAGTACAAGTATGATGCCGTGGTGCCTAGCAACTAGCTCAACTCTCGAATACCGGCACTTGGGGGCTCGCTATTATTGATAAGCGAAGAGTTGATAGGGTATATGATGGGGTATATGATAGGGTACTCGAGTAGAGCCGCAAACACTGGGGCGGGGGCTTGTGGGACGAAAGTGCTGTGCCCCAGCACCGGATTGGATCGGGGACGATCGGGCCTGCTTGTCCCTACTGTATGGTAGTGCCTTTATTCATCCAATTATAGAGAGGGAGGAGAGCGAGGAGAAGGAGAAAAGGCAGAAAGACCTATGGGCGGTTCGCGCTTTACCGTATGTGCTCTGGCCGGAACGTGACCCTCCGTAGAGTACGAGTATTGGTTGATACAGCACTGTACTGTACCCGTATTGCTTGTAATGTAATGTAATGACGCTTTGAAAATGGAGCGGCTATTGCATATCGCCAAAAAACTGACTAGAGCCTCACAAGTTTGGCGGTTTTTGCAATAGCAGTCTGTTCCACAGATTGCTGATGTGGTATGCATCGGCCGGTCTTGCGCGTCGCGCTTAGAAAAGGAAGACCATACGGTACTAGTACCATTATTGCCCTATCCACTGAAACATATACAGGGACAAACGCGATAGCTTATCGTGCGGAAACCAGCAGTTGTTGGTACTGTTGGACGTCGAACACCACCGAGGTTAGAACCATGGTTCATGTGCTCCTCTTAAACTCTGTCCCTTCTTCTCCCTACGGGGCGACAGTAGACCCAAAGAGCCTCGTTTGCCCGTTGCCCAGCTAACCCCCAATAGACGGCATTTCCAGTATCGACACTAATAATTCTTATCGCTGACCACTTCCGATCCTAGCGCTTCTCTAAGAGCCTCTTCCAGCATGGGTATTGAAGCATATTCGTTTGTCACATAACGAGTATCAAATAAAAGATGGGAGTGAGAAATTGGATTGATTATGCAGCAACCGCAGAAGTATCTCGCAGGCTGTTGCAGCGCGTTTGCTAGCAATCCCGACGAACATCACGCTCTTCCATCCCTTTTCCTCGAGCTCCCATATCACCCCTTCTTCCTCTTCTAGATTGCTGATACATAGCGAAGACCCCCCCGAAACCCCAATCCACAAAATATTTCCGACGACCCGCATTTTTCTGACCATCCGCAGCTCATAGCTCCTGAACCCAATTCTAAATCATTGCGAAAGCAGCAGCAACAGCACACACTGCCACTGCTCCGCCAACGGGGTACTTTCTGGCGAGTGCACCGCCTTCAAAAGGTATCGGGGGGCATGGTGCTCCAGCACTAGGAGTTGGTTTAGGGACCTGGATATGGCCATCAGTAGTGTACACTACAACCCCAGACTTGGAAGCTACTGGGGCTTGTTCAGAGCGAGACTCTGCACCACTTACTTTCGGGGGAACAGACGGCACAACTTTGGGGCAGGGAGTGGGTGTAATAGTCTGTTCCGCCTCGTTAGAAGGTTTTATTGGAGACGCTGAGGGCTTTAATACCATATGCGGGCAGGGAGTAGGTTTGATAACCTGTTCAGCCTCATTAGAAATTTTTTATTAGACGCGGAGGGCTTTAATACCATATGCGGGCAGGGAGTAGGTGTGATAACCTGTTCCGCCTCATTAGCAAGTTTTATTGGAGACGCGGGGGTTTAATACCATATGTGGGCACTCAGCAGATAATGCGGGTCCTTGAACCTGGCCATCGCCAATCTGCATGACCTTTTTTATAGAATATCAGAATTTGTGCCATAAGCCAAGTATGAGGAGACAACAAACCTTACTCTGACCAGCAACAAATGCTGCCAGGAAGGCAATCGCAATAGTAGGAGCCACGAATCTCATTGTTTCTTATCCAAGGGATAACCGTTGAAAGATAGTTTGGAGATTTTACAAGAATAGCTGTGGTTTCGAACTCGGGGAGTCAAACAGACATTGCCCACTTCTGGGTGTCCTGGCGCTTCACTGTCGCTTTATACAAACTTCTACGCTCTATGAGTCTAAGTGATCCGAATAGATACGATACTCAAGTGTGGGTCACTGTTGCGAGATCCACCACCATCGAGGCTCGACTACCTTAGATAGATCTACATCCCGCCCAGCAGGAAAAACATCCCACCATCCACTCCCAAAACGGATGAAGGTACCATCATAGGCCTCAAGCCTGGTTGATGCAATATGGAATGACGATGTGTCCATCACCTGTGCGGGCTCCCGAGATCCTTTCAGTTTCGATTGGTGAGAAGGAACCGGGAGCTACAGACACACAGTCTCGTGTGACGTACTCGTAGCAGCTCTCTCGCCGCCTGAGAGTCTCTACCTTCAATACTCCGTTCGCCCCGAGCTGAACTGATAGAGAGGCATTTGACCTGTGACGGCCTAGACGGGAGTGGTCTAGGGATATGGTAGCCTTAGTTAATACTCCGTAGGTGCTGAGTGAGTGGCATTCTATGATGGCGCGTCTCAAAATAACCCCCATGACAGAGTATATTCATACTGAGACCCATTCCTGTCCCGAAGATCCATCGGTATGGCCACTCTAGCGCTTCCTTTCCACCAGAGATATCCACGGAGCCGCCAACACAGCACCCGTCCTGACACACACATCCCAGACGAAAGATGTTAGAAAAAAAGACTTTTCCTCGGCAGGCGTGAGAAAAGAGAATGTCTAGCCCTCTGCAAAATAGCTTTCCCGATGGCCTAGTGTCTCTAGCTCAAGCACAGTTTCTAAACGTAGATCCACTATTGCAACCAAGCTATGGGGTAGAAATAATGACCCTATACTGTCATGGTTTACGGTACTCGTACATTCCGGTCATGGAACGACCGCTGTCACCCCCGATCATGTCGGGGGCTATCCCGCAATTGGCACCTTTTAGCTTCCATTGACCACAGCTCACTCTCAGTGGGTGAGGCTAAAGAAACACCATGATTGTAGGAGATGACACTATTTCCTCCAAAATCCTGGCAAAATGAGTACCGCGGGCAAGTGTTCACAAAACCCAGTCCCAGACAGCAAGGAGACTGCTCTGCTCCTCAACTACATACGATATCGCAACCCTTGACCCCTGAGAGAGTCGAGTCCGTTCTGGTATGATATGATAACATGTGTCATACAAACCGACGACAATTTGTGTCCAGCTATTTGACTCCTCTTCTAGCCTACCACATGGTGCAGATATACCATGAGAATTAACCCCTGCAGAGAGGCAGATTCTCAGGAATATTTCGGAGATAACTCCCGTTCTGCTCAGAAGTGGGCGCCATAGCACCTCATCTTCTGATACCGAAAGTGGGAACGGCAGAATTAGGTATCGTGGGACTAGGCTTTCGTGGGCCCAGCTCATCACCGACAGTTACCCCTACTCGGCATAGCAAGTTCTGTGCCACGGCTCGGTAGACTGTCGCTTATTCTTTGCCATCCATCAATCCGACATTCGATACCACAAATCGATAAATTGGTTCCTCAATAGAACTGAAAACACATCGACCCGGCACCTATCATCCGATCCAATAGCAGATCTTGAAGGAAGGACCCTTTCTCGCGAAACCGGGACCCACGGTACTGTGATTTGTCGAGCAGGACGGGGTAATAACGATGTATTGTTTGTGCGATGGAATTACGGGAAAGTTGCATCTGGCCACAGGTTTGTGATGAGAGAGAAAACGACCTCGGATGGTCTTCCACACGGTAGAGTCTTCCCCTGAAGCAAGACAAATATAGAAGCAAGGGCAGAACATAATCATCCTAACTTCTTCTTTCTTCCCGGTCTGTGGGGTAAAAATGAGAGAAAAAAAGGGGAAGAGGTGACCCGGGATTAAATCGAGATGGCGACTACGGTACCCTAAGCTCCCGAAACATCAGGATTTCCCAAAACGCGGGACGGGATTTGAAGTTGTTTATCGGTATGTGGCAAGGGTGGATATAGGCTCATTCCTGCTCAGAAGTTTGTGGAGGGGGAGGCCAAATTTGGAATGGGGTAATTAGCATGGACTATATGTAGAAATTATGGGTTGGGAAGATTCTTCGTCATGGTGATATGATACCTCTCTGTTGCGGTAAGGGGGAAACACTTTATCGAGTGAGATGTTGTGGATCGCTTAGCTCGTGCAGATCATCCGCATCTTTGGTATCACACTTCCCGATTCGGAATTTCCCTCCCCAGATAACAGGGGAGGAGAAACGAGGCCAAGTTATCACACTTTATTCTTCGCCTACACCGTAGTGGCATAGTGACAACCATAGCCCGTTAACGTAACCCATAGCCCACAGCCCATAGCCCAGCTTGGATGGATGGAACAAATCCAGTTGGCTACGCAACAAACTCAAACATCAAGTTACCTCACTTTCCTTCCTTCCTTCCTTTCTCCCCTATTCCCCATCTTTCACCTCTTTCCCGTTCTTTGTTCTAGTTATCCCACCCCTTTCCTTTTTTCCTTTCGTTTCTTTCTGTTAATTTCCTTCCCTTCCCTTCCCTTCCCTTCCCTTCCCTATTCATTTTCGTTTTCCGTTTCCTTTTCGAACATGGAGAATCCCGACACTCCTACGGAAATCGCGAAACATATTTCTCACGCGGGAATCACGTTCGAAGTCTTTCGTCCAGAGGAACTGCCCGGCATACCAATCTTCGGTGACCCTGGGCAGCGGCGGAACAACAACAACAACGGCAACAATAAAAAGCGAAAAGCTGACGAGGAGGAGGAAGGCTGGGAAAAGCGCAGGCGTAGTGAGTAGCCATACCTCTGAGGAAAAAAATAATATTTTTTTTTTACATTTTGCCTGTTTGTATCGGTCGCGTGTGCTGATCGGTTGGTGGAATTTTTTTTCCCTTCAAAATTATCGATAGCTACCATTGAGAACGAATTGTTCGATAGTGTGTTCATCGGTTTGGAAACGCAGGTTTGCAACGGGGGAGTACGCTTACCAAGGTTACCGGATTGGTTAAATGCGGTACGCGAGGATCAGTGGGATACGCGGGCGCCGGGAGTGTTCCTCGTTCGGCCTTCTTTGGAGGACTTTCGAAGCCGATTTGTGGAAATGATGGGCGTTCTAGAAGCGATTGGGGTGGAGATGGGCGTTGTGAAGGTTAAGATTCCTGAAGGATGGTTTGTTCCCCCTTCATATCCCTCCCAATTGATCAAGATCATGATCTACGATAGTGATTAGCTCCCTTGCGTCTGTTTCGTCCCATGTTTTTTTTCTTTTTCTTTTCTTTTTCTCTTGGGTAATGGGGTTACACGTGCTGACTGATGTGTAATGCATAGGAATGATACTCCGCCAATCCCTTCCTCGGAGAGCGATCGTGCCCCACCAGATCTTGAACTCTACACCATGACCCAGCGGCTACCCCTTCACCCTTCCTCAAAATCAAACTTAACCCCAATATACCATGTAACTTCCTCCACCAAGCGTACAATACCAGCATCGCAATGGCGAGAAATTATCCAAGCCTCGACCCGACCGACCGCCGCCCTATCGGAGACTAAAATGTGCTTCCGAGGTCGTCAGTGGAAAAACATCCTCACTGGAATACCGCGGGACGGCCCAACCCAATACTCCTCAGACAATGACATAACGGACGACTTACGCAGATACCTCTCCCTCTCCGATCCGAAGCTAACATTGCTCCCGGGTAACGTCCTCCACGACAACATAACCGCCGTGACAGGGATCCAAACACCATACCTATACATCGGCCAGGCGTACACCATGTTTGCTCTACATACGGAAGACTACAACGCACTATCCCTGAACTACCAACACTCCGGCGCGCCCAAATCATGGCGCGTCTGCTCGCCACGGAGCTTCACCGCCCTGGAAGACTTTATCGCAGCGAGCATCCCCAATGCCGGGAATTGCTCGCAGTTTGTCAGGCATCAGAGTATCTATCTACCCCGGGAGACGCTTGAGGGAGCGGGTGTGAGGAGTATACTTGTTCGACAGTTTCCGGGAGAATTGGTGATTACTTGGCCGCTGGCCTACCATCAGGGGTGGAACGAGGGGGTTAATGTTAACGAAGCGTGTGGATATGGGAACGAGAGGTGGAGAGAGTTGTTCCCCGAAAAAGCGAGGAGAGTAAAAGAGGGTAGGGGTGTCGGTGGGGGAAGTGTTTATAGGGCTTGTGGTGGGAGGTGTGTGGGCGGAGAAGAACCGGTTCGTTTAGTTTATAGGGGGGAGAGTGATTGGGCGGTTTAAGGAAGGGGAGAACTGTACATATACGCTTGCGACTTGTGACATATGGGAACTGTGTGTACTTGTACGTGTGTATTTCTGGAGAGACGTGGATACTAGGCATCGGTAATGGGATTGTTAATCAATAATATTATGGTGGGTTAGTTGATGGTCTATTAGATCATTGATTTTGGGAATTAAAGGTGGGGACCGCTCAACGACCCTTTGCGTGTCGTGCCCTAGCAATCGAGACAGGATCAACACCGAGGATGCCTATCTATTGTGCACACTCCCGGAATGCTGTCAATCAAGGGTGCGTAACCGTGGCTGAGGAATCAGCTGGGAAGGATGTCACCCCCGGTAGGCTAGGCACACTCCCCGATGCTGGCGGCCGAGAGCGGGCAGGAAGAGGTGAAGCTCTTCCAAGGACGACAGACGTCAACCCCAACAGTACAGTCAAAATCTAGGGTCCCTCACAACTCTCGTTGACGACCGCTATGAGCGGGTAGCTAGTGCAGATGGGCGTCTCAAAGCCCCCACCAGGACAGAAAATATATCCCTCCGATAGAGCGGATATGTATCACACGCTGGAACAAGAGACCACTCTTGCGGGCGAGGACGTGCAGCAGCCAAGATATCCCTGGGTGGGGCGTATCGGACTCGGGGGTTTGGAGTTAACTTATGTATGGTCATTCAAACGACACCGCCTTTACGGAGTCCTCG